TATATATATATATATCCTTATCCTATGAGTCCTACTAGTATGTCAGGATCGTGTAGATTGCTATGCTATAGGATTCGGTAGAAGTCGAGTGATTACTTGTCACTCGCGAGAGATAGAAAAGATATTATTATTGTTATTATATTACTGTCACACAGAATATATATGAATGATAATTGGTGACCAGACGAAATGGTACTTGGATTTAGACTTGGTTAGACATTCGAGCGAGGCTCGGATTGCACTTGTTCCGCCTGTGTTGATTGAGGACCGTCTGCTGCTATGGATGGTAATCAGGTCACAGACTTATTATCCGGAGCACATACTTGCTTGTGGGAGCGGGAAGGCTCGTTACGCTCTTGTCGTGGGTTCCGGCTCTTTCCGGATCGACCGATTGGAGGCGGGAAAAGGTGGAGGTCTAAGCACCATACTGAGACCGGGTCTCAAGTGTGGGGGCTTAGAGTCCAAGTTTGGACGGGGACCTAGACCCTGTGATAGGAGTGAAATGTGTTGGTCTTATTTGTGCCTGGGGTACAAATGGGACGTGTGTTTCGGGGTACCCAGCTAGGATACATTAATTCACGAATCACCGTTTCTGTGAGACAGTACGATTTGGCTATGGTCTAGCATCGTTGTAAGAACTGAAATATGAAAGATGGTAAAATGGTTCTGATTGCTCACCACCTGCTTGAAAGTAGCATAAGAGCTTACATAGAATGGATAGTTAATGAACTAATGATGATTGCTAATAAAATTTAATATAAGGACGCACGTTTAGTAATGCTTCCGCAGATGCAATAACCCACAAGCCAAATAAGCCTTGCATATCCTTGGAGTCTTTTATTTTCTCTTGTCGGGTAAGTCTTGATGAGTATAATCGAGTACTCAGGGTTTTATTCCCCCTGTTGCAGGTGATCGGAGGATACTTAGAGCTGACTCTTGTGTGTGGAAACCTCCTGGTGGGCTCAGAGAGGATTCCTTTCATGCTACGACTGTAGTGTTTATTTATAACCCTCACTAAAGGTTTTTATAAGAAAAGATGTAAAATCTGCTAGCATCTCTTATATAAAAATGTCCACTATGTTAATGCTCCACCATGTCATTAAATTAATCTTTGCTTCCTCTGTAACTCTGATAACATTTTTATATTTCGTTGTTATAATCAATTGAGGTAATATTCTACTACTGTAATAAAGTGATGTAAGAAACGACTTCAGAATGTTGTAAGCTTTATTCTCTCATTTATGATCCTGATGAAAAAATATGGATTTTCGAGTTCTCCCTTGGGATGTGCTCGACGGAACTGCGTAGTTTAGTGTACTCTCTTGGGTACTTAGTGTCTAATGGAAGACAAGTACTCTTGGAAGAGCATTAAATTAGTCGGTTCTACCACACTTTCTCAAGTTAGAACTAGAGACCTTTAGTTATCCTCTCTACGCTCCTGTTTATCCTAACCTTGTTGCTACTCCTAAATTAATTTAAACCTTAACCTATTCATTACCCCTCGTTAAGTTAGACCGTAGTTAGTCTCATATGTTTTTCTATGAATACAATACTTGGAATACTTCCGGGTGAAAGATACAGTGGTATCTGTACGCTTGTGGATTTATCTGTGTGCGTTAAATATACCAACAGTAAGCACTCCACGTGGGAGAGTGTGACTTGCGGGTCACCACTAGCAAGAGGACCAGTGACAACCTTGGAGCTTGTCTCAACGGGGACTAGCGTGTTGGTAAATACGTGAACCTCGAGATAAAAATCACCGTGCATCTTGTTCTCGTTGGTTTGCAATCCCCATACACAAGCTTGTATTTACTTTCATTTATATTGTGCTTGTGTATTTTTTCTTATAATTAATTAGCTTGTGTAGCTTGCTAGTTACCTTCTTACTTGTATAGCATAGAAGTATCTCTTATGTGACTAATTTGGTTTGAGTAACCTTATTAGTCGTATTGCTTAGTTTATGTAGCTAAGTAGTGTGCGCTCTCTAATTTGGCTTGTGTAGCCTTGTTATTGAGCATTGCTAGTTAGCTTAGGTGGCTTTGTGCTTTTACTTACTAGATTGTGTAGGTGCTCTTCGGTTTGTTTAAAGTACTAGTTGCATAAGTTTGTGTGACCTTACAGGCTAGAATTTGATAGGTGAGCACTAGCTAGCCCGACATCTTTGTTGTCTCTTTAGGATCTTTATAAGGTGCTTGTGAACCTAGATAGAGGAGTGTAGTCTTGGCTAAACTAATAGTTTAAATTTCACATTTGTTTCGGTTAGCCGGCACGTTTAATTTTAGAAATGACTATTCACCCCCCCCCCCTCTAGTCCACCATCTCGGCCCTACACCCTGCTGTCCATTTAGAAGGACTCTTGAGGAAGTGGTGCGGAAGAGGATTGAAACCCACTCACGCCAGCGTGGTCCGAAGCCAAGAGCCTATAGTACCTCCAGAAGGTAGCTCCAGCTGACTTTGTCGAAGGCTTTATGTATGTCCAACTTGAGGAATATGGCCGGCTTTTTTGTTTTTGGAAGGTCCGCACTATGCTTTGGACATATAGGAAGTTGTCATAGATGCTCCTTTTTTTGATGAACGCACTTTGGCATTTGGAGACCAAGGAGTCCAATAGGGGAGCCAATCTGTTTGCGAGAAGATTGGTGAATAATTTTGCAAAACTGTGTATGAGACTAATTGGCCGGAAGTCCGTTACTCGCATGGCGTCCGCTTTTTTGGGAGGAGAATAATATTAGCCAAATTTAGCGGCTCAAAACCTTGGGAGTTTAGCATAAACATGCTGTTCATTGCCGCTGTGACATCTTCCTTGATAATTTCCCAGCACTTTTTGAAGAAGACGCCCGTGAAACCATCGGGTCCTGGTGCTTTGTCGGACGACATGGAATGTATCGTGGCCTTGATCTCCTCCAGCGTGAATGGAACCTCTAGTGCAGACAAGTCTCTTGGGACATAACCCAGCGCATTCCAGTCGAAGGTCCTTGATCTCGATGGCACTGAACCCAAGTGACCCGAGAAGTAGTCTGCCACTACCTTCTCCTTGTCACTATGAGTAATGGCCACCCCCTCATCCGTATGCAAGCAATGTATATAATTTTTCCTCCTCGTGCTGGCTCTGATATGGAAGAATTTTGTGTTTGCGTCTCCACTGCGGATGTGTGATAATCTCGCTCGTTGCCTAATCCTCGATTTTTCAATGGCAGCAAGTCCGGTGTTCCTTGCTTTTAGCTGGCGGCGTAGTGCAATTTCCTGGGGCGTCAGCGTTCTCATTTCCTTTGCCGCTTCAAGATGCAATAGCACTTCTTTGACGATGGCCAACTGTAGCCGTGTGTCGCCAATTTTCTCCCTCCGCCATTTCTTGATGCCTTTGGCTACTCTTGCTAATTTCGTGTTGACTCGCTTGAGAGGCACGCTCGATTGGACAGGTCTATTCCAAAGCTGTTCTACCAATTCATTGAAGCCATCAACATTCACCCAGAAATTTTCGAAGCAGAAGGATGGATTTTTGTAGTGCAGGATCTCCCCTTGTAGTAGAAGCGGAGTGTGGTCTGACATGAGCGAAGGCAGGGAGTGGAGGAAACAGGTTGGGAAGGTCAATTCCCAATCCAGGGTGCAAAGCAGCCTGTCGATCCTAGTAAGCGTCAGACTGTCCTGCTCATTGCTCCAAGTGTAACAGCGGCCATGGAGCCCTATTTCTTTGAGGTTTAGCTCGTCGATCACCGCTTTGAATGCCCCCATTAGACAACGGTTCAGATTTGAATTATTCTTATCTGCCGCTTGATAGATGAGATTAAAGTCACCAAGGACTAGCCACCTCCCGTGCGCCGGCCTAGGAATTGCCTTGAGCTCTCGCAAGAATTGTAGTTTCTCAGCATCACCTTGTGGGCCCTATACCACAGTTATTTGCCATTTGGTCCCGTCTGTCCTCACGGTGCATGTTGCTGTGATCGCATTTGCAGATAAGTGTTGATCGGTGAGGTGGAAATAATCTTCGTTTGTCGCCATCACCCGCAGTACGTGGCCCTATGATTACTACCTGATTCGGCAGAAACAGGTGACGGAGAGTCGTGCATGCTTGCAGCTGGCAGCAAGAGGACCGATTTGGAGACTGAAAGGGACAGATCAAGCTTTGGTTATTTGGGAGTCCAGTGTTCAGACATTGATAGTTACAGCTGGTACATACGCAAACAACAGTGATAGATGCTGCTCTATCTGTAGAAACCCAAAAGCACACCATCAAGTTGGCTATGACCGACAATTAGTGCTTTGCCTCATTGCCGGCTCAACAACTGGGGATGCAGTCTAGTGATCTTGTTAGGCACAAAAGTTTCCACTAGCAAAGACGCAAAGTCATGAGGCAATGCTGCAGCTGGCAGGCACGACGATCTGACTAGGGTTTGCTGATTCCGGAGACTAGTATAGATAATGACGCTGTTACGTTGGTGGTGAAAGGTACGGATCGAGATTGGGAGCTCCTGACATTGATAGCTGCAACTCAACTCAATACTCGCGTGAACAGCAGTGTAATGTTGCTCTATCAAAAAAAGGCACCCCGGAGATGGTTACTACCGAGAATACCGACGGTAGGGATTTTACTCCATCAGGGTGTAGCCATCCGTATGAACAAACTATGCCTTGACCTGGAAGAGACGTGCGGCACGGCCGGTCTCGGAAGTCGTCGTAGACGAGGCGCTGCTCGCTGGGCAGATTGGCGAGTGAAAGAGTTTGCAAGGTTTTTCACAGCAGTTTCATCCAGCCTATGTATATAGGCGGTGCTGGGCTAGATTCTCTCAGTCTCAGCCCAAAATCTCGGAAGGTCTTCAAACCAAACGCCAATGGGCCGACCCCCACAACTAAAGTAGCAGTAGAGAGGAAAAGGCAGCCGAGCGGCCTGCGCGGAACCTGATTCTTCCGCTTTTGTGCGGAAGCGGAAAACGAAGTGAAAGCGAGGCTGCTGCTGTCTCACGGCTGCTGCGGCGGCGGTTTGGGGGCTCCAGACTCCAGAGATGGCCGGTGCGGGAGGCAGCAGGGGGGGCGGCGGCGTGGTCCGCGACGTGGATGCGCTTGAGGGCGTGCGCTCCATCGTGCTAAAGCCGTCGGAGTCGCTCGACGAGTTGCGGTTCACGAGGATTGCCGGCGCCGACTTCAACGACCCGGGCCTCGGACTCGAGGGGCTGCTCGCCTCGCTTGCAAGCACGGGGTTCCAGGCATCCAACCTCGGTGACGCCATCGACGTCGTCAACCAGATGGTACGTCCGCCGCTACGCTGCTGGTTTCGTCCGGATGCCGGAGGGCGAGTTTGCGCTTGGGGTTAACTGTAGCAACCTAGCGAAGAAGATAGGTTCATGTGATTTTGTGCGATGCGAGGTCTGTTGTAGTGTGTTTTCTGTTGAATCTCGGCAAATTAATGTTTAGACGCCTGGATTTTGTTCTGGAATGCTTGGAGGCTAAGTTGTAAACACGGCCAAGCTGATAGATGTCCAGCTGTTACAACTTCAGTGACGTAGGTATATTTGAATTTGCGGTAACAGTGAAAGGACCCAAGTATACTAGTACAGACCTTCAGGCGTTGGCAGCTCCTATGCGGGTTAAAGTTTGCACCTAAATCGAGCAAAGAGACATAAAATTGCTAGGGAAGTTTCTGCTTTTATTGTATATTGCTGTCAAGTAAACATTTCCTACATCACAAAATTACCTTTGCTCTTACAATATTGCCTCAGCATATTTATTCATTTTCAGTTTTGTCGAATTCGCTACTATCGTTTCCAAGGTTCTGATATTTGCTATGCTTGTCTGAACTAAAGTTAGATTGGAGGTTGTCGCATGAGAAGCCCACTGAGGATTGTGATGAAGCTGAACTTGACCCTAAATATAGAGAATCTGTGAAGTGCAAGATATTTCTGGGCTTCACTTCAAACCTCGTGTCTTCTGGCATCCGGGATATAATCCGTTTTCTAGCTCAGCATCACATGGTAAATTCTCCAACTCTGTTTCACAAGTGCAAATTTCTGTTTCACAAGTGCAAATTCTCCAACTTTGTAAAGTGGTCTGCTTGAAGCATGCCTTGACATATCTGCTCCTAACATTACCAGATGCATTGAGCTCTAGTGTTCTAATGTCACTAACTTTATCTATGAAAAATTATGCTCTTTAGGTGGATGTTATTGTTACAAGTGCTGGGGGTATAGAGGAGGATCTCATTAAATGCCTTGCACCAACTTACAGAGGTGATTTTTCTTTACCTGGAGCACTGCTGCGGTCAAAAGGACTGAACCGGATAGGAAATCTGTTGGTGCCCAATGATAACTATTGCAAGTTTGAGAACTGGATCATGCCACTCTTTGACCAGATGCTACGGGAGCAATCTACTGAGGTAAGCATCCCTGCTGGGTCAAAGCTATATAATATTTCTTCCGGCTGAAACTCAGGTACCTGCTAACCATGGCTTTCATTTGCCGTATACAATGGCTATTAGATACTAGAAGTGTAATATGAATATGCTTTTTTTGCAACCTGTAATTTTTTTCTTATAGAGGGCCGTAGATTTTTCCTACTGTCTGAGCCACTAATAAGCAGGAAAGAAAAGCCTAACATGGAATTGATCTACGATCTGGATCCAAAAGTTCTTTAAAACTATTTGTGTAGCATGTTACACTTAATATACTAAAAAAGTTAAAATGTATTGGCATTTGCTTGACCTTTCTTGAATAGCTTCTTTTTTGTCGACATTATACTTTTTCTGGCCTTTAGAGTGATGAGTGATGACCTTCTTTTTTCTCTTTCTAGCAATATGCATATGAACTTGAACTGCCAGACAAGTGAGATCTTGCCAAACCAAATGTTTAAAGTATGAGCTACTAGTTTCTGCAGAAGTTGCTGAATATCAATACAGAGAAGGTTACACCTTACTGGATATTTGATGTTTTAACTCAGGAGCAGCCTGCATTTTCCACATCAATAATGTTTTGTAATAGATCACCTGCAAGCTCTGGTGTATCAGTAATTGATCTTGTTTTTTCTGGAAACAAGAAGTGAACCATATTTATGTCTTTGTCATGGATCAATTTATTGTTCTTTGCAGAATGTTTGGACTCCGTCAAAGGTGATAGCTCGTCTTGGCAAAGAAATAAACGATGAAAGCTCCTATCTTTATTGGGCATACAAGGTAACATGTAGCTGTGTATTCTTAGGAAGTTTTAAAAGAACTTCAGAAATGGGAGTGTTCTGATTCTATTCATGAATTATGGATTGATTTCTGTTGGTAAACAATGAGATATGAAGTTTTTGTTCCTCTTTTATTTGTGTGTGGTGTTTTTTTAGGGGGGTGGGGTGGGGATGTGAAAAGTAATAAAAGTTCTGTGGAGTTATGTGAGCAAGTTATTGTTGCTTTACCTTGGTATCTATTTTTTCACTGTCCTGTATTTTCTCCAAATAGTTGCTTTTCCTGACTTGAACCTTCCCATCTCGTTGATTAATGCAGTGTGTTTGTATACCTGATATCTATATTCAAACCTTTTTTTTTAGAATTGTTCAGAGCTTAGTAGATGGAAGCAGTATAAAGTAGCTATTATTCTTAATGTTAGAATAAATGGCTTACCCTTCCCTGTTCCAGGTAGAATATCTTTTGCATCGAAGTTTGTGGTTTTCTTATACTGGAGTTCTTAATTTCACGAGCTACTTTGTTGATTTACATCTCAAGACAATAGTCACACTGTACTAACTCATCAGTACTTGACCAGAATAACATTCCTGTATACTGCCCAGCGTTGACTGATGGTTCACTTGGAGACATGCTGTTCTGTCATGCAGTTCGTAATCCTGGCCTTATTATTGACATTGTACAAGGTATGATTCACTGTTCTGTCCTTGCCTTTGCTTTCTTATGCAACATTGAGCTTGAAATCTTTACAGATATACGACTGATGAATGGGGAAGCCATCCATGCAACACCAAGGAAGACAGGGATTATAGTTCTTGGTGGAGGCCTTCCAAAGCATCATATATGCAATGCCAATATGTTCCGTAATGGTGCAGATTATGCTGTCTATATTAACACGGCCCAAGAGTTTGATGGTAGCGATTCTGGAGCACACCCTGATGAAGCAGTCTCATGGGGCAAGATCAAGGGTTCAGCAAAACCTGTAAAGGTATATGTTTCTTCACAAAGCTTCAGATGCTGTTTCTTATGTTTCACATAACTCTAGTTAAGCTTACTTTTGTAAACATCATGCTGCACCTTGCTGTTGATTTGTCTTGCAATGAGGTATCAAAATAATCGAAAAGTATATTTAAAGATGTTTCTTAATTTCTAAAACATCTTAACTTCCTTCTGTCACTGTGGACAACTTTTGCACTGACAGAATTCAGAACGTTGCATTTTGGGCTTGAAACATGCACCATCTTACTTTCTTTAATAATTGTAATGGATTATGAATTATTATCTGATTGTTTAATTGTGCCTTTTCTGCAATAGAAGATATCAATTAGAAATCAGCATATACGTATTAGACAGTCAACAATCTAATCTATTGTTTGAAAATTTGGAAATGCAGGTGCACTGCGATGCAAGCATCGCTTTCCCGCTTGTTGTTGCTGCGACATTTGCACGTAAGGTTCACAGCTCCAAATGAACAAACTGAATCGCTTTCGGTTGAGTATGAATGGACAGCAGAATTTTGTTGAACTCTCCAAATTACCATTTGGAGCACGAGGTCTACTTCACCTGCACAGGGATCATGTGCAAGCTTTTTCGGTGACTCGGGGCCGCATGCCATCATTCTTCGATGTTCACTTGATGCTGTACTAGCTGGTTGGTAGCATTTTTGTTGCAACCAATAATTTATTGAAATACAGACATACGATTTGTTCATCCGAGTCATCTGCTTACGAAATTGACAAATGACCTGATTTATGAACACTTTTTTTTTCACCTGAAAGCCTTGTGTGCGCTCTTTTGTGTTGATGCACGGGTGGCATTTTGAGGGCTCTGATCTTCGCAATTGATTTGAGGCTAGTTTTCGCACTCTTGCGTGACGAGTGTTGGGTGTAAGCCAGTAAGGCCCTCTTTCACAAAAGAAGCCGAACAATGGCTTCATCCCATGAGCCCATTCATCGTCAGTGGCTCTTCTAATTCATCGATGCTCGCCTTGAGATTTTGCTCAAGCTCGACCACTCTCGGGTAGGTTGTAAATCATGCTTGATGCGAAGATCAGACCATTTTCTCGTTTCGAAAGACACTCTTTTTTTTGTTTTTATTATCTTGCTAAATAAAAGAGATGAAAAGAGTTGTCGGTTTGGTTCCCTTGCGGCATTAGAGAGGTGATGGTGACAGTGGTGCTTTGGATTAAGGTTTGTCTAGCCTCTCTGCCTCGATGGTTTCTGTTTTGGTGCCGACGAAGAGCTAGTGAGACTAGGTTCCGCTGAATTTCTTGGTTAACATAGAATTTCGATATCAGATGTGTCAATTATAGGAAATAGTCGGCTAGATTTTAAATGCGACGACTTTGACATTGATGACAACTTTGCCCTTTTCTTCCAGTTTGTTCTGCGGTAAGGTCTGGTTATCTAACTTCTAACCCTCTGCTTTGGCGGCAGTCAGTATTCTTAGTACAATATATTCAAGCTGTTCATTTTCCTTACTGCCTTCTTAATATAATATTCAAGCTCCAACGGACAGCGAACGATCAAAGGAGACAACCAGAAAAGCCTTGGGTACCGACTATTGTTTTCCTTAATAATACCAGAAAAGCCTTGGCTAGTTTTTTAGGACTCTGAACGTTTTGTTTCAAGTCATCCTTTGTGTACCGACTATTATTTTCCTTAATAATACCAGATATAAGTATTCATTGCCACCAAATATGTCTGCTGTCATGGCATGGAATTCAAGAAGATGAAGATACAAGCAGCTTCTTGGTGGATACATGACTTTTTCTTTGGCTAATTGTAAGGGGAATGTCCAAGTATTTGTCTACAAATGGAACAGATCAAAATAAAACATTATCATATGAATTAAAAAGGGATTGGATCAATGATGACTGCTAAAACTGCATTGGAAACAGTACAACACAAAGTTTTGTGAATCAAGCCATATCATGCTGCATTTTCATGATTTTTTATCTCTGAAGGTAATGAATAATTGGCAGCTACATTTTTCGAAAGTCATCAAAATAAGCATGTCTTCATATGAAATGTTGATGGATACAAGTTCTGAGTACCAGTCTCAGCACTTCAAACTTTCGGGACGATAAGAAAGATCTGGGAGTCATCAAGGAGCTTGGGACCTTAGTCTCGCCATATCCAGACGCGTCTTGAAAGAAATTTGGATTTCAAACTGAGCCCCAGGTATACGCAGGCGTTTTAACCAGAAGAACTTCTTGTGAAGTTCGTGTGGTTTGGCTGTCTGTTCCACAAACTGTTTCTTGACATGCATCGAGAATTGTTCCCTGGATTTCTTATCAATATGAGGTGATCGCAACACGGTATACAAGGCTCGTGATTCAGGTAGTCCAATCTTCTTTGTGAATGGCATAAGCCCTGAGATCTGGTTGCTTTGGCTCATAAAAGACTTCATCACTACGCGTATCTTTGCAGCCATGACTCTACAGTAAAGCAGAACTTTTGTAACTGTTTACAAATACCCTGACACCTGGAGAAGGTAAAAATTAGCACTGTCATGTAACCATCATGTAACACAGACATCAGTAAACAAAATCTGAGGCAATTAGAAAATTAACCTTGCTGTGACATGGGTAATAACTTTATGATGCTTGAGCATAATATTCACCACAAATAGGGTAGCAGAATCACAGGGAAGAGAACATATATACAGATACAGTGAATACTTATAGTAAAAGGTTCAGTGCATAGAGGGTAGCATATCAGTTAATGTAAAGTATGATGCTCAGCCACACCATGTCACACAGATTTCCTGGACTGTGCCCATAGGGCTACTTAGCACATGTTATGCAGCCACAATACTTAATGGGCTCCATTAAAACCTTTCTACTATGAAAAACAGAAAGACAATAAATACAGAAATGATCCTTTTTTTTCTTCTTCTAAAATGAAGTATCAGGCTCATGGTAGACAAGTGACGAACTGACGATCCATATATGCATAAAAGTAAGTAACAAAGTACATGGCTTTAGTTGATATAGAGGTGACTGGTAATAAAGCTACAACAGAAGACTGTTCTTCGTTTTTTTAATGGGAGAGCGTAAATGAACATACGATGAAAGATAATATATTGACAGATAGAGTTGGGTTGTTGCAATTAGGAAAGACTAAAGAACAGAAGAAATATGTCGGCCATCATTAGCCTTAAAAGGTTAACACCGTGAAGTAAAGACAAGCCAACTTGATCGCACAAAGAATTGCAACAGCATGGCTATCACCATTCACCAAGCGGCCAATGGAGCTAACTCTGATCACCACGTAAAAAAATTGCAGAGTAACATTTCATACAAGTTCATCCAACATGTTATTTGCCCCCCAAATGGTTAATTGAACAAGTCACAAGCACATCGAGATATATTCAAGCAAAATTGAGAGTTTGGTAGAAAGCAAAGCATATTGCCTTCTGAAATGTACTGAGGAACAATGCTGCAACTACAAGTATAATAAAGTGTATCTCAAGAAGCCAGGAAATTTAATAATCAATCATCTCATGGTAATGAACAAGTGTGAACGGTTCCTCTCAAGCAGGAACAGATCAAGTATACGACATGGGTGCAGGGGCGGACCCAATAAAGGACATGGGTGATCATTTTTTTGAAGGCATAGTACAGGTATACACTTGCAATTAGAACAGATCCCATTACAAATAGCCAAATAGCTTAGGTTAGCCTTTGGGTGCTCCGTTTCGCACAACAAGAAGGGAGGAGAAGGGGCGGGCATACCTGGTGGCTGCTCGTTGCCGCCTTGCCGGAGAAGGGCCGGACGAAGATCTGGGAACCTGGTGTAGGGCGGCGGCGGAAGCAGCACTGCAGAAGGTAGTCCAGTCGGCGCAGAGAGAGAACGCGGAGAGACCAGCGGCGGCAATAGGAGCCGACCCGCACGGGCCTTCTCCCTTAAGAAATATCGAAAGAAATTGTGAAAAAAACGGCCCAGAAGAAGGCCCATGCGGGTGCGCTCTTTTTTTTTTCCGCCGTCGCTGCATAACGTGCATTCCCCTTCCGTCCGCTGCATCTCTCTCGCCCCCTCTCGCTCTCGACCGCCCGCCGCCGCCCTAAGCCAGGTGCTGAGGCTTTAGTTGGTCTCTTCGCCGGCGACGAGAACCCACCAGGTACTCCCACCCCTTCTCTCCCTTCAAGCTGAGCACCAGAACCCTAACCTAAAGCTATTTAGCTATTTGACAAGCCTCCTAACATTGAAGTTTTTGCAAAAATTATTGGGTGTACATGTGTACACCCGTGTCCCTTTACTGGATCCGCCCCTGATCCGTCCAGATGCATCAGACACTTAACTAAGGTTGTTGATTTTTTTCCCATTCATATTCATGTTATCTTTTAGGGTTAGCTAACCAAGAGGAGGAGAGTGATAGGAGGAAGAAAGAGCAACGGGAACAATGGCGGCAGACTCTGGCGCTCGCAGGCAGCCAACCTTCACCAAGGTTGATCAGTTGCGCCCTGGAACCCACGGCCACAACCTCATCGTCAAGGTTGTTGACTCCAAGATGGTCGTCCAGAGAGGCCGCGAGGGAGGGCCCCAGGGAAGGCAGATGAGGATTGCCGAGTGCTTGGTTGGCGATGAAACCGGCATCATTGTCTTCACTGCAAGAAACGATCAAGGTTCTCCCAATTCTTTCCACATCCCCTGGCAATACCTTACACCGTCAATTTTACAACATATTACTGTTTGAGTATGCGGCTAGTACTAATCCAGTCAATTTAACAACATATTACTGTTTGCAAGTGCGACCAGTACTAATCTTTCTAGTCTTGTTGTGGTTCATCTCAGTGTCTCCTGTTCTGTCTGATGTTGTTGCGTTGTGTACAATCTCAACTTTCCATGCTTTTGGTCAGATTTTGCTAAGTTAGCTTCCAAAGTTCATAAGCTTTGTTTGCTGGTACAGATCAACAGCACTAATGTAAGTTGAATTCATCATCTGTTGCATGTTCTGTTCCATTTTCCTATGCTGATAGCAGTAACCTTATCAGTCCGACCTTGCTTCTAATCTGCTCAAACTTACTGGTTCCTTGGCCAGAATTTACATATTGTCAGAATCCTACATACTCGTACCTTTGTTTTTAGTGAAATGCTAAGATAGATGTCATGTTCTTTATCATTACCATTATCACTCCAGTCTCTAGGCATGCATACAAATTTTTTTAGCGGTTCGTCGTTCCTCATCCAATTATAAATATCACTAGTTGGAATCTCCTTAGCTACTATTTAGTTTATACCGTTGGTGATCATCTTCAGTCTTGACATACGTACATGATATAACTGTGCTTGCCTAATATAATGTGATTTTGCATCAGGGGACAAGTCTCATGTACACGATTCACTCTTTACTGAAGCACTCAGTTTTCTTAAGTTTGAGTTTGGTTCCTTGTGCTTCTGTGCGATGTGTTGCATATTGAAAAGTAAATGTAGAAATGATGGCTGAAGATGGTGTTTTTTATTGGCT